TAGACTTCAAACTGAATCAAATTTTTTCCTTTTTTTTTTTTAAAAAAAACATAAATCAATTAATTAACAAAATAAATAATCCTAAACTAAACAAAATCCTAAAATCCTAAAATTAAATTAAAAAATACCATGTACTAAATGGGGTGTCTATAAGACAAATAGATTTATTTATGAAAAAATTTCATTGTATAATTAATAATACAATTTCATTAGTAAATTATTGACAAAAACTTTCATAGATAGTTTTTTTTCTTCGTTATATTATTTTAATAAATTTTTTAAAATTAATTGATAATTTTTTTAAAAAATTTCATCGACAATAATTAAAATTTTGTGATAATAATTAATATTTTTATTGGTAATACTTATATTGCAGTCATATTTAATTATATTTTGTTTATAATTTTGTTTATTTTGGTTTATAATTTATTTTTAAAATAATTATATGAATATCAAAATATAAATAAATTAAAATAAATAAATAAACAAACTATTTTATTTTATTTATAAAAGAATATATGTTACATATATGTTAAAAAAAAAAAGAAATTCATGTATTAAAAAATGATCTTGAAATCTAATACTGAAATCCAATCCTATCATTGTAAGAAATCCTCTGAGATGTAAGTATGTTGTTCTAAACTTCTTCCCCTTTGGCAATCCCTTCTTTTTCTCTAATCTTTAGTCTTTAGTTCAATGTTTTTCTTCTATACCATGGTTTGCAGTGATATAAGTTAGTATGCTTTGTCGTTGTCGCAATATCATAGATTCTCTGCATCAAAATTCTTGTAAAGTTGTAAACAAATCATTGATCCACTTAATAAGGCTAAGTTACTATTCTAAAGAATATTGAAATAAGCTATTATAGTGAAAGGCGTAATTCCATAAAAGTCAAGCCACTTTTCTCGACATTTATGATATGAGGGCACTTAGTCTTGAGCATTGGCTAGAATACATTGGTTTATACCATATTTATAGATTAGTTAGTTTTGGTATTTTCTTGATGTGAGTAACCAATCTATTATTTCTTGGTATCAAAGTGCTCATGAAGCATAGAGAAAAGGAATACTAGCTAATTACTAAGATTGAGTGGAATAAGATAGCTAAAGATCTCTTTTCCTATGGATTTTGTCAAAATTTAGTGATTCACAATCTTTAACCTTTAGATCTTTTTTTAGTTTGCCTTATCTTTTTTTTCCTATAATTAGAAAATCTTCTTTTTCTAAATTAGATTTCTTTTATGAGATTAACTATATTCCAAAAAATAAAAAAGTCCCAAAATCAAAACTTCCCTTTGTAAATCCTTATAATGCTTTCTCTATAACTTATCATTCTTTAGTCAAATCTATAAAAACCTTTTTCAAACTAAAATATCAGGCTACAAAAGAATTTGTACAAGCTTCAAAGTTTGATCAATGTATTCTACCAGCTAGATCTCAAGAATATTTTGTTACTCTCCAGATTCTTTCAAATTTCTCACAACAATGGTTGGATCAAATATATACTCACATTCACTTTGGTGCTATCAGAATAGAATAAGGCTTTCATGGCATAAATGATATTTTTACGTATACCATAATGGCTTTACTAGACACAAAATTTAGAAATTACCAACATGTAGTACTTGGCATAGTTAACATGACTTTCAATGCAAAAACTGTCTTTTCCATAGTATTTTCCAACTACAACATGTCTCAATTTAATCCAACTCTACTAGATGTGCTAAAAGTTCAAGTGCAAATTATAGGAACTAAATCCAAAGGATTTCAAGGAATTCTTCACTACCAGATGGCTTACAAAATTCAAGATAATGCTATAAACCTACCCATGCCTAATTCTAGTGATGCAATCTTTGTTAAGTTAGAAGCTGTAGACAAAAATTCCATACATGTTTATATTCTAAAATAGATTTCAAATAAAGAACCTATTGCCTTATTTCCTAAATCATGGACAACAAGTTATCAAAAAGTTTAAAAATAAAATGAATCAATCCAACATTTTGATCCCTCATACACTGTAAACCTAAATGGTATAGTGACAATTGAGTTTGATCACAAAAAAGCAAAAAAGTTTCTCACTCCAACTTATGTTTTTCTCACACAATTCATGATACAATCATGTTAAGCAAAACCAAATGTGCCAGTTTCACACTTTAAGCCTGATGAAAAACCTGTATATGCATATAGATCTTTAAATTGACCTTGCTATTAGGATATTGATTGTAGTTGCAAAATATGCTAAAAAAGTAGATATAGAAGCATCCTTGATGATGATGATTCCTAAAAGAAGCTAAAAAAAAATCTCCAAAGTAGAAGCTAAAAGAAAGATATAAAAATAGAAACCTTGAAATAGATTTCCTTAATGAATCCCTAGAAAAGTTTGATTATTATTTCATTTATCCCAAACACAAAAAATCAAACTTTTCTCAAAAAAATTTTTCAAACCAAATACTTGAAAGACCCAAACCTAAAAGACCTTTACCTTGTTATGTTGCTGGTCTTACTTATCTTGCAAAAAAAGATGCAGAAAAGGCTAAGTTTATGAATAGTTATAGACAACAACAAACTGTTTCAAATGTTATTTTTATTCAATAAATTTGTATAATGTAGCCATATCAATCTTTTTATGATTCAAAATTTTTTCATTTCTAAGAATTTTACAAAGACCAGTACAAACACACACAAAAAATCCCAAACCTTACTAACAGAGATAAATATGAAAACCAAAAAAGTATTTCTCAAGTAGAAGTAGTCTTGAACTGGCAAACAAGGAACTTTATTCATCATAATGCATTCTTGCATAGGATAGAGAACAAACTTGATCAAGTGAGCCAACATTTTGACCAAAACCTTGTCAATCTCTAAAATATTATTCTTGACATTCAAACAAGAATTATAACTATAGATCAAAAACTCAAACATATGGTGAAAACCAATATTGGTTACACTTTTGCTTTTACAAAAAAAGAAGAAAAATAAATAGTCTTAAAATTTAACTTGTAGATCTTCAGAATCAACTCCATTAGAAACAACAACAACAATTTCTAACTTTAAGTTAGAGTATCTGAACTCCCATCAATACTAAAATGCATGATACTTCTTACTATGCCTATACTCATCTTCTCAACCTTATCAACTATATAACCCATCTTCAGCTCCAAAACTTTTTTTTATGTCATTATAATACAAACTCCCAACTACATCAGTACCTTTATATACTTAACTAAAACCATTCTTCATACCACTATCAGGACAACCGTTTCAAATTCCTTCTTCAAACTAACCTCTTTTTGGTATAACAAATGGATTCATAGATTAAAAGAAAAACAACCAATTTAGCATAAACCTAAAAGAATTATAGAACAACCACTTTTTCAACCTCCAAAACCCAAAACAATCACAAGCACTATTACAACTCCCACAACTGAGCACACTCTTAAAAGTACCTCTTATGCCTTTTCAAAACCTCTATCCCAACTCATGATTTCTCCCACTCTAAATGTTTTTCCAAAAATACTATAGCACATGGCACAAGAAAATCTTCTTCAGTTTTTCATTGTTGATATTTTTTTCAACAAAATATGAGTTTTTTTATGAAAAGTGATGATTTTTCTGATGATTTTGATGATACACTCCCATAGATTTTCATGATAGAATTAATAGTTGAAGTTTTAAAAGATAATCCAAAAGTTCATAACTAAGATGCTATGGATGACGATCAACAACAACCTTTTCCTTTTTCATCTCATATTCTTTCATCCACTTTAAAGTTTTTGGTGTTCATAATTGATGACATTCGTTCTTTCAAATGGCCTTCAAGATTTTAAGAGTTCTTAGCTTAAAGACTTGTTGAAAGAAATGTTAAAAGTTGATAATGTAGAGGATTTATATGATGATGATATAAAGGAATTCTCTACTTGCTTAGAAATTTTTTCAGCCTCTGATTCTCAACTTGATACTATTGATTTTTCATCCTTTATGCTCAGTCAATTTATACTAATCAGGAAGAAATTTTTCATTTTAGAGCCTAAACCTAGATTCTCTATGGTAGTACCTAATTCATTGGTTCTAAAGCCAATGAACACCTTTATTAGTTTAGATTGCAATATACTTAGAATATTTATAGAGGTGGAACATGAATATAACCTTATGCACCACATACACTTAAAGTTTATTATTATATATTTGGTCTAAAGGAAAAGAATAAAGTGGGTAGAAGCAAGAATGAAATATGGTGTGATTCTCTAATACCAATTCAAGTCAAGCTATTGACTTTAAATAAGGCCATTTTTGGGAGGCAACTCAAGTTTTATATTTCATGTTTTCTTTATTTGCTTATATTTGCTTGTACCTATTGATTTTTGTTCCTTTTGTAGGGTTTTTTTTAGGTGAATTAAAGAAAAAGAATGAAAAAAAAAAGCTAGTAAAAGAGCTTGTAAAAAAAAAAATGTTCTAAAAAAGAATGAAAAAGAAAAGAAACAAGCTAGCTTGTAAAAGAAAAAAAATTTTGACAAAGAAAAAGAAAAGAAAAAGCAATAAAGTTGTGAGATGTGTTGTTTGCATTTTAAACCATATCATCATTAAATTTCATGCAAGAATTTGAGAGATGTATTATCTGCATTTAGAACCATAATTAAAAATAAAGTATTTCTTCAAATTTAGAACTTAATTTAATTGATTTATGTAATCATTATTGAGAAGTAATATTTAATAGATTTAAAATTAAAATTTTAATATTCACAATATTTTTTTATCTCATACTACAATTTTTTTTTAAATATGGCATCACAAGATTTATGACATTATTTTAGCATTTTTCCTTGTCCTGCAACTATGTCCATGATACCTTTTTATTTTTATTATTACATATAATAATATATATATATATATATATATAATATATGCATCTTCCATTCACACATGGGTGCATGTACACGTGGTAGTGATGGATGTTAGTATAAACTAACGTCCACCCCTTAATATTTTATAACCCATTATTTCTTTTCTCTCCACTGATCTTTACTCTTATCTCTGTTTCTTTCTAGCAGCTGCTAATTCTATCTCGTTCTGTATTTAATCGTGCGCTAGAGTTGTAGACATGCGTGTGAGAATGAGATCGTCAAAGCGTTCTCCCCGCGCAAGAAGAAAGGTTTTGGTCACGAGAGGAAGGAATATCCGAAGGCAGAGTCTCTCTTTAGCTAATGAAAGTGGCGCTGCTGCTGCTGCTGAGTCTGTAAGAACATCCATAGAAAGGAAGCTTCGGCAGCTTCAAAGGATGCTTCCAGCTGGTTGTGCTGAGATTAACATGGAAACCTTGTTTCAAAGGACAGCCGAGCATATCTTTCTTCTTGAAGCAAAAGTGAGGTCGCTGCAGAATTTATCTACTTTCTGTGGAATCTAGAAATCTTGGATTTCGCAAATTGTAAGGGGGTTTACTCTGATAATCTTGTTTGATGACGTGTAGATGGAAAATGAATGTTTTTTAGTTGACCAGCAATTAATTAATGTTCGTACTTCCATCCATGGGTAAAATAAAGCTTTCAATTAAGCATCTGGAGCTGAGGAAATTAGAAATTCATTTGTGCTCTACGGATTTTGGAATCATATATCTCATATCATAACGGATATAAGTGTGGGGTAAAAGAAGAGATCTTAATTGAAAAATATATTTCAAAAATTGAAATATCATTCTTGACTTAACAAGTGATTCTGAAAGTAGATCTATAATATATGATTTAGATCAACCTATCACATTAGTTTGAGTCAGAATGATAAAATTACTTTAATTTTGTTGACGAGTCACCTTCTAAGGAAAAAAGTTTATAATGCTTTTATAACTATAAAATACCCCTAACAAGTAGGCTTTCTATGAACACTCGTAAAAATTTTAAAAAAAAATTTTAAAGAAAAATTTTCCTTGAATACTCAAAATTTTTTCTTGAATATTTCTTCGTTGATAGAATTGGTAAATTCGTTTGTAGTACTTTATTAGATAAATCCTAGACACCCTTGAAAAAAATTTTAGATTTGTCATTGATTTCTATTAACATATATTTGATAAGAAATTATACATTAATTATTACATAATTTCTTTATAAATACTACCTTAATCATAATCAATAAGTACCGGATTAACATTTTTTACATTGTAATTGTTGTAATTAAATAATTAGAACTCATACCATTTGTGTTGTATATATTACCAAGCGATGAATGTTTTCTTAGGTGTTCATGAATGATTTCTATGAAAACAAAGTTTATAATTCACGTAATATGTACAAGTGTTGAAGAATGATATTTGAAAGTTAATAAATAGCCTTTGAAATGAAAATCAAGTAAAGGGATTCGAATGTCATTTGAAGAGAAGTCAGATGATCAAATTGAAAAGCAACTTGTAAGAAAATTTTTCTTCGGCATCTGAATGCTATGAGATAGGTATTTGAATGCTCTACAAAATTTCACATTATATGTGGAAATTTGTCTATAAAGTTCAAATGCATTGTTTCAGGGATTCGAATATCCTTATCGAAAATTCAAAAAATCTTGTCTATTGGACATGGTATTATATTTCAAAAGTAGTGACTTTTCATTTAAGACGTGTTAATTCATGAAGGGATGTTTCTAGTACCAATTGAAACTTATATATAAATACTTCTATTAACGTTCATTTTAACACACATTTGCATCCAATATCTTTAGAATCATTTGATTCTCTTTCTCTTTTTTTGATTCATAGTTCAAGTGTGTTCGAGAAATTCTTGAAATGTTATCTTTAATTTTTTTTTTTTAAAGTTTAAGCCTTGTATCTTGAGAATATCATTTTCAAAAATCCATTTGTACCTAAATAAGGAAATTAATATCCTTAAAAAAGGTTTCTTAGAAATTTCTTATCTAAGTTTTTCTCTTCAAATTAAATTGCATTAGTCAATTCCATACACAACAATTTATCAGAAAATTATTTCCTCCAAATAAAATTTTAAAAGAACTTATTATATATATATATAAAAGAAGGATTCACTTACGCTAATATAATTTTTATATTTTTTTACTCTTTAAATTAAAATTAAATTTATAACTCATTTAGATCAAAATAATATTTTTAAATTTAATAATTTTTATTCAAGAGTCAAAAAAATATAACAATAATTTAAGTGAATTCCAACTTATATATATATATATATATATATATATCCATGAGGGATACCAAATTCGACATCCGTAGCTTCCATTTTTTTGCTATATACGTTGAAGAAAGCTAATTAATCAGGGGAAGTTGAAGGCATTAAATTCTTGCCATGCACAGACAAAAATGAATTCAAAAACACACACATGCATATGCACCCCAAAGTCAAGCTTCCTACACCCCAAAGTCTAACTTTGGCAAGTAAAATTGTTACTTTATGGCCGTAGCATTAAATAACTCACTATTCAGGTACAGGACAAATTGACATGAAGTTTCTAGATAAAATTTGTGAAAATTTTTTTAAATGATTTAATAAAAATTTTAATAAAAAAATTATATTAATAAATTGATTGAATTTAATATGAAAATCAATAATATATATAAAAATTATTAAAAATATTATTTATAATTTCAAGTTGATCGATACTTATCCAACGAAAAAAATTTTATCAACAGATTTATTAAAAATATTTATTAAAAATTTTAATTTTAAAATTTTACTCATTTAATTTATATAACAAAATATTTTAATTTATAAATTTTTATTTTTATTTAATCATTTCTAATAAAAAACTACACAAATGTCACCTGAAACACTTAATTTAAGTCTTTCCCTAGTTTCTATAAGTTTTAAAAAAAGCTTGCGTTCCTAAACTAGTTTAAAGTTTTGCGTGTGCACACATGCATTTTGGATTTGTTGATAAGAGGTTTAGCTTTGATCATATCTATCTTAGAGTCATACAAACATCTAACAGGCACTTGAAGTCGATGGAAGTGCGATGCTTTTCAATAAAATTAGACAATGGGATTCGTTTTTTCGGCTTTTAGCAATAATTTTTTTTTTTGCTATTTTTTCCCCTGATCTTTTTTCTTTTTGAAATATCTTTTGTATATTTTTTTTCAATTTATACAAGAAAGGGATTTTTTTTTCAATTTATAAGTTAAGCCAACAATCGAAATTATATTCATGATGTACATGTGCCTGGAGGAAAGACTTAGATAAAATTACCTACGTAAAATTTATGAAATTTTTTACTAGAAAGGATAATATAAAAATAAATAAAAATTAAAATAGATAAATTGAAAGATCTTGTTGCATAAATTAAATGTGTAAAATTTTAAAAAATTTTAATAAATTTGATATATATTTTTAAATTGTTTGTTCGAAAAAAATTTTAAAGCTAAGAACATCAAACAATATAAATTTGATGTGATCTTTTTGTAGTCTTCTAGTAACTTTCTTTTTGTGCAATGGAACCTTCAATCACAAACACAAATGGCTTCGAGGCATATTACAATTGTCATTTACCTTAAGGCTTATTTTGCCGTCACCAATTATGGTATGTAAGAGAAGTTAAATCGATTAGCCTCTAAGATATAATGAAACTTAAGTTTGTTTCACTTTGCACTAAAAAAACCAAACCACTAAACACTCTTTGGTGAGATATGAAAGTACTTTATCTTCAACAAAGTTTTTAGTAGTAAACAATGTTAAAGCAATTAGCCTTCTAAGAGACAGTTGGAAAAAGAAAAGATATAATCTAGAATTGAATTGCATTTCAAATGAACCCACATCAATCTCTATTTATAGATATTTAATCTAAGTTTGTAACTATTTGATTATTGTTTTAATCAAAGATCACTTCTTTTTAGTTAAAAATGCATCTCTTTGAAAGATTACAAGCATATTCATTCATTTAAATAGTTGCACTTTGCATATAATGAGAAATCATTATTCACGTTTCTGAAAATTACAATTCTTCATACAAAGCAATCTTTTGATTTGACTCTTTCTATTGTAGAATCATGTCAATTTGACCATAGTTACTTGTCTTAAGCTATATTTTAGCTCAACTTAACTTTTCTTTGATTAAGTTTCTTACTTAATCATATTTTCATTATTTTGAAAATATTTCTATAATGCCATCGACTTTTATTTTCTTTTTGAAAATTCACTTGCAACCAGAAGAAAGATTAACTAAGATCGATATATTACTTGCCATGATGGAATCCATTTCATCATCTATAACTTCTTTCCAAAAGCTTACATCTTGAGATTTTATAACCTTTTCAAATGTCCTAAGATCCGATTATACATTGAAGTTATATTTAATGTGTTTATTGACATTTTCTTTTATGCCTTCAATTAGGTACATTTGAAAATCCAAACAAAGGTTTTAACCTTCCTTGCTCTTTTACTTGTTCTAGATACAAGGTTATCTTCTTATGAAAATTTTTTCCCTTTGCTCTTGTGTGTCTTTTAGAGCATTGTCTTTAGAATTGGATTCTAATTTGAATCTATATTCATCAAATATGGCATCTTTAGATTCAATCACCGTATTAATAAGTATTGAATCATTGGGTTTTATTACCACGAAACTATATGCCTTGCTATTTTGCGCATATCCAATGAATGTATACTCGATCTCGTTTCACCTAATTTCTTTCTTTTAAGTTTGAAAACCTTACTCTTTTAAGTTCGAAAACCCTTACAATAGTTTTGTAGCCTCATACCTTAAAATAATTTAAGTAAGGCTTTTTTTTCTTTCATAATTCATATAAGGTTAACTTGTTCCTTTTGCTAGGAACCCTATTTTGGATATAACATGCTATTAATAATGCCTCACCCTAAAAATTGTGTCCTAAACCTTACAACAATGCATTAACCATTTCAATTAAAGACGTATTCTTCCTTTCAACCACAATATTTGATTGTGGACTATAAGATGGTTTAATTTCATGAACAATTCCTTTATAAACAAAATAGGGTTTAGGATTTTACAAATTTTTTCAACCTTATTAAAGGGTGTCCTTATTATCTTGGTTAACATTCATGTTCTACATTTTTTTATTGCTTGGAATTAAGCAAGCTTTAGACATTAAATTCATTCTATTATAATGTACATGTCCAAATCTATAATGCCAGAGATCAAAAGAGTCAATCAAGTGGGCAAAATAATTATTATTTAAAAATCCCATTTGTTTTCTTGAAGAGGTTCCATTGTTAGAAAAAACTTAATCATATATTTTTATTAAATCTTACTTTGTCAAAAAAAATCTAAATTTTTTACTATTTGGACCAAAATTAGAAATATTTTCTTACTAAGAAATTTTTTAGATAATCATCCATTTGTGATTATTAAGAATTTCATTCTTGCAATTACTTTATTTCAGTTCTATTTTTAATGTATCTAAAGTTTCTACTTTTTGAGTTGAATTTAGAAATATCTTTCATAGAATTTAGACTTTTATTATAGA